AACGCTCGTGTAGCTTCTTCTACTGTTGTGTTTTTCGATTTCACGGTTGTGATGTGGCTTTTGCAGAAAAATAGCGGTTACTGGTCTGCGGCTACTTTTTATATGAGAACCCTTGAAACCTTTAAATCATTGCTAACACACTTCATATTTATAATGTTGAACATTTAATTGCTTTTTGTATTTTTATTCATTCTCTGTTTTCATATATATATGAAGTAGTATCACTTATATTCAACCATTCATCACAAACTTTGAATCCATCTGTGTGTATGCCTGTCTTATTCTTTTACACCCTACGTGTGTGTGTGTGTGTGTGTGTGTGTGTGTGTGTGTGTGTGTGTGTGTGTGTCAGACGCAGTAAAATAAAACAGACAGGCGTCCGTCACACAGGCAGGAAAGAGTCTGGGCTTTGACCTTCAGTCTCTTCCTGTTGTAACAGACACTGGGGTGCGTCCCCAGAGGAGGAGAGAGGAAAAGCAGTGGCCTGACCCTCACAGCCACACCCTCTCACCCCCACACTGCAACCCCGCCTCCACACATCCCTGATGGGGGGGCCCGTCACGCTCCCTCTGATCTCCACTGTTTTCCAGTTGATGCTATTGTGAGATTTGTTTTTTCATCTAGGTTCTGAGGCTCTCGTGGGGCCACCTATGGAGCTGACACACACACACACACACACACACACACACACTAGACTGAGTAAAAGAAGAATAAACAGATTAATGTGGCAAAGTATTATTCACATGCCAAGTTTATCCTTATGATTTAAATATATTATTATTATTATTGTGTGTTATGTAATGCAACTGAAAAACAAAGGGACACAACCATTTAGAAACTAGACTCCACCAAGACCCAAAAGTCTGGTTAGGTTCTTAATTCTTTATTTTCTAAAATAAAAATCCATTCATCATTATTTTGAGTTTGAAACACGTGCAAATAAAAGTTAAAAAGATTTAACTGTTGACTTTTTAACTTGCTTCTAATTTGATTTCGATGTCACACGTGGATATAATATAAAAGTGGTTGAAAACAACACAGAAACGGACTGATCGTCAGACGAGCAGATCCACAGGCAGCCATGTCGGACTGAAACCCAGCAGACGATCCCACTGATCCCAGCAACAGCCCCGTCCCTGTCACTCCTCAGTCTATTATCTCGCCTGCATAGAGCCCTCAGCAGCACAACTCCACTTCCTCCCTGTGAAAGACGCACGTGGCCTCCTCGATAAGATCAATAAACCAAGCCTCTTTTAACTTCTCCAGCCGCAGAATTCCAACGTCTACTTTAGCCGATAAGGTTGTTGGGGGCGGGGGACCTCAGAGACACACACTCGTCCCTTTGTGCCCCTATAAAGGAGACCGGTGGATGCATGTAATCAGCATATTATTGATAGTCTTAATGAGAAAGGCTCTGAGTCACTGAAGCCATTAGCCAGGATAAAAGAGGCTTAATTGTTTTGTGTGCACGTGTGTGTGTGCACGTGTGTGTGTGCACGTGTGTTACGCCGTGCACGGGCTAAGACCAGGCTAATTAAATCCATTGCCTTTGCTGGCAACTTTTTTTCCTCTCTATTAATTAAGAGGGTTAATTAAGGGCCTGGACGCAGGTCGTGTGCACGTTCAAGTGCACGTGCGCGCCCAGATGTGCTATTGCATCTGTATTACAGCAACAGAATGAGCATAAATGGAACGGCCTGCCATATTTATTTGGATTCAAAGGAAGGAATATCTGAAGGCTGATAGTATCTGGAGTAAATGATCGAGCTGTCTGAGTTGAGTTTCACAGACTGGGAGTAATAACACAGAAAGACAGAGGAAGGAAACAAAAGGCTCAGTTGAAAGTGACGGCACACATGTTGTGGTTTCTTGTCGAAGGCATCAACCAACGGTCTGGTGTTAACACCAACCACTGTCATCACGAGTGGACGTACACAGCGTAGCGTTGGCGTGGAACAATATTCCCCAGCACGCTCCATCTACGGCAGTAATATTGTTAAGGCTGCCAGACATGAGAGGACTCTCCCTGCCTGCTCGCCCGCCACTGGACACACACCATTACTTTTGATGGGCTGTGTGTGTGTGTGTGTGTGTGTGTGTGCCCTCGGGGTCGAGGAACAAATGGCTGATTCAGGACCTGCTGCTGTTTTGCTTATCACCTTGGGCTCCGTTAGACATCTGTGGGCGGGCAACCATATCCAGTGTGATGATGATGATGATGATGATTCTCTGTGGTCAGAACAAGACTTTTACACCTTTTACACTCCTTGTAAAGCTGCAGGCAAGCGTTGTACTGTATGTAGGAAAAAAACACACTTGAGGAAATGTGGCTCGGTCCTTTGAAATGAAAGCATATTTCACTTTTTGATATTTTTACTTATTTCAGGTCATTGTGCTGTGGCTTAATGTTCGGATACAGTCTCACCAGAGGTCGAGGGTCACCGTACGACCTATGAGATGTAATCAGTTTATTCTTGGGACCAAGTGACAACTGGTCAAAAGTTCCCTGAAGGCAGTTTTTATGTGCAAGAGGCCAAAAACATGATTTGTGAGGCCACATTGACCTTGGGAGTCTAAGTGAACATTTAATACCAAATTTGAAAACATCCTCTTCTTCAGATAACCTGTTCTTGAGGCAATAAAACATTTTGTGTCAAAGGCCTCTTCCACACAACTGAGGATATTTTTTAAACATTTTTTCCTCTCTGTCCACACGATCTAATATATCAAAATATATTAAAACATCTCCGTCCAGAAGAGAACACCAAAACGACTACAAAAGCTCAAACAAGCACGCAGGGCCACTAGGTGGGGATAAAGTCTACACCAGCGATTTGTTTTGCAAAATATCTGTATTCATGTGGACAGGGTGAAAGTGAACTCTGACCTTTAGCCACCAAAATGTAATCAGTCCATCCGTCAGTCTAACTGAACTTCAGAACCAAAATTGAGGAGAGTCCCCCAAAGCGTTCTTGAGATATCACGTTCATAAGAATGTTAAAGACAGAACAGGCATAAAAAGTATATAAGAACAGTAAATATTTGCACATGCATTGTGACAAATCATTTTTGCTCCCCTCCCTTTTCTTTTCCTCTGTTCCGTCTCCTCTCTTTAAAAACCACAATCATCTTCTTTCCCACCATTCTTTCCAGGGGGAGACTCGGCGTGTGAGTGTCCATCACTGTGCACGCATGTCGCAGTCGTGTGTTCTGCCGGTGCATCATTAGATATGGCTTTTTATTATCCTCTGGAGATGTGGGGAGGAGGGGGGTGCGTACAGCAACACTCTGGTAGTAAACTAGCGAGGCCGTCAGCCCCCCCACACATGGGAACAAACACCCCATTAAAGCGAGGCCCCTCACATATTACTGTAATAAAAGGACCCGCTCTCGCCTTTTACAGGCTTTTTAATTATGTCTATTCGTCTTCCTGGGCTCGTGAGCAACAGTTCACGACGAGCCCCATTTCACCAGCGCTCTGCCGCAAAACCTGGAGGGGGGGGGGATTTCAGGGAGGCGGCGAGAATGGCCCGCAGCTAAAATATGACTGTCGTTACCAGTATGGTGCTTTATGTTTAACCTCGCAGCGTGGAGCTAACGGCACTGCTTCTCTCTCTTTTTACCTCTGAGGGTTTGCTTTGTTTTACATGTGGATTCATATAAAGATAGTAGTAGTAATGGCGAGAGCCGGACTGTAGCTGCAGGCTCCCCAAAAAATTAACCGTTTAAATCATCCGTGCATGAATTCAGCGTGGAGGACACACTGGGTCAGCTTGTACCTTACACACTCGCCTTCCTTGTCAGGGTTGTGCACAATTCTTTCATATTTAATCTTCTTTATACATCCCTGTGTATTTTGGAAACCAGATTTAATAAGTTTTTTCCCTCATGCATCAGCACACAGCTAAATACCAGATATTAAAGAATGCTGCAGATAAATATACATTTTATGGCCTGGTCATTTCCTGCAAGGTTGACCACCCTCTACTTGTGATAACATTTTATTGCCATTTATTGCCAGAAATGTGGCTCGGTCCTTTGAAATGAAAGCAGATTTCATTTTTGCTTATTTCAGGTCATTGTGCTGTGACTTAATGTTCTGATACAGTCTCACAGCTCTTATCAACCCTGGATCCAGCTGCAGGAGGAAGTTGTGGCCCTGGGCTCGTATGCCTTGGCAAACCAAAGGTCGAGGGTCACCGTACGACCTCTGCAATGTAATCAGTTTATTCTTGGGACCAAGTGACAACTGGTCAAAAGTTCCCCGAAGGCAGATTTTATGTGCAAGAGGCCAAAAACATGATTTGTGAGGCCACATTGACCTGGGGAGTCTAAGTGAACATTTACAGCAATACCAAATTTGAAAGGATCCTCTTCTTCAGATAACGTTTTGTGTCAAAGGCCTCGTCTACACAACTTATTGCCATTTAAATCAGGTAGAAGAATCCAAACAGTGAAACATAACAATCATTGAGAAGAAGAAACAGGTCCTGAAGGCGAAGGACACCCGAGAGATAAGCTTTCCCAGTTCGAAGGCTCCCTCAAATGCATCTTCCTATCCCCGAGAAACAAAAGCTCCAACAGGTGGATCCTTCCTAGCACAACCTATCCCAGGAATAATTGCGCTATTGTGAGGAACCATTTTTCAAAGAAGTAATGGCGCCGGTAATGGAGACGTCCAATGTTTGAGTATCAGGCTTTAAATCAACAGAACAGCACAAATAAAATAAAAAACAGGGGGCATTACAGCGATAAGACGAGGACTAAAGTCAGGGATATCTGTCCGGCACAGTGGGTCTACTGACTGGAATTTATTTATATGAGTTTAAGCATTTTTAATCATCGTAAACAGAAATAAAAAATGCTATATAAGAACTGACTGTAGATCCGACCAAATAAAGACAATGGCTGCAGTAATTCAACAAAGTGTTTGGAATGGAGACTTGAGACGGTTGATTTCAGTCTTTACCTCTGCACGACACAGAAATAAAAGACAAACGTGGGTTTGTATAAAGGTTTTATTCTCTTAGATCAGGTTTTGACATCGTATCCATTGAGCTTGTGTAGTCTGCTCACAGTGACGGCTCCCATGAGAACTAGCAGCACCACGGCCAGCGCCGCACCAACTCCACACAGCAGGTCTATCGACGGGTGAGAGGCTGAGGAGCAGGAGACAAACGTTATTGGTTCCAGATACAGTTTGTTAAAATGACAAAAGTGTGAGCGTAGAAAAACAGACGTTACATATTGTCGTATCTGTCTGAGTAACTTCCTGCGTGTGGAGCAGAGGGAGCGGCTCTGGAGGAAGCTCGGACACCTCTTCTAGGACGTTCTCCTCCAGCAGGATGGGGCCTAGAGAGGCCACCCCCTCCCACTGCAGCTCCGGAGGAAGACCTTGGGAAGAAGAAGACGATGGAGGAGAGACAGAAACATCTATTGTGTGTGCATTAACCAGCTGAGTCAACCATTCACGACATGACTGATTCGTCAGACCATTAAAGGGATGAGCGCAAAAATCAAATCCTCCAAAGACGAATAAACAGCGTGCGTGCCAAATGAAAGCAGGGGAGCTTGTCTAAACATGGGCGGAACCTCTGCTCCTCTATTTGTCTGTGGGTGATTATATTTTACTTGCAAGAAACCACTTGGGTTAGGGTTAGTGTAATGTTGCGATTCTTCTGTAAAATCATACCAGTGTCCACCACGAGGCTTCTTCTCCATCTCTGCTTGTCGCAGCTGCTTTCACAGCAGCCACACACCTCATTGTCCCCACCTGACGCCACCCATCTGTCCGGAGACAAGGTGGTGAATTAAGGACAAGAGCACGGATACAGTGTTGAGAATCATCCAAATAAGAAATGAAGGGATAACTCAGTGATTTTTGAAAACTGGCCTTGTTTTCCAATCTTTTCGGGGTTGTCGAAGCCGCCAGACAAGAAGAAGTTTGAAAGGTTCTATATCAAATGATCCCAGATCCATTTATGGGGACTAACCTGTTGGCCTCAGTGAGGAATGAACACGCTTTGTGCTGCGAGTCGATGGGAACAGAGACCGTCGTCACTTTCATATGACATGTGATGTAGAGCTACGAAGATACACACATTAAAAAATGGATTGCAACAACTGAAAACACTGCACAGGCTGCATATTCTTGCATTTTTTTCAGAACTATCTAAAAATACTGGATTCTCTATTTCCTTCCTGAAGTATCCACACATAACAGAAGAAAAAGAAGGTTAAAGAAACACCTCGACTGCTGTAAAACACACATTTCTACAGTTACCAGATGGCTCAGACAAGAAAGTAAAAGAAAATCTGCCTGAACAGTCAAGCGTCTGACAACATGATACACGATCGGTCGTATAAAAACACTCCTTGGACGAGCTGCACTCACCGAGCTGCTGTGATTTTGCTGGAACCTGAAGGCTTTGAGCAGAAAGTGAAGTTTATCCTGCCGGCTTCTTTGCATGAAGTAAGACTTGGCTCCTGTCAGCTTAGCATCAGTTAGACACCTTATATGGCAAAAATATTCACAAACACAGCACCAGCCACTCATTCTCTCACTGGTACAGAATGATATGCAACTGTTTTAAACATAAATCTCAATTATCACGACAAGCTGGCTATTTTAGGCCGATGCATAAACTTGTTTCTGTCCAGCGTCTCACCCGTGGTTGCTGATGAAGGGGTATCTGGGTTGGGAGAAGGGATCGGGCTCTGCCGTGGCCACACAGCTGTCCACAAAGACCCTCAGGGGAACGTGGTGACCCTGCAGGACGGCCGCTTCGATGTGCATGACGTCACTCAGGAAGAAAACGCTGGATGGCCGCTGCGACTGCCAGTCCTCTAATCGAATACAGAAGAGGGACAAAATATAAGTGGAAAAGTAATGCTGGGGCCTTCAATCGGATTAGATGAAACTCAAATGATGCCCATGGGGGAGAGAGGGTCAGAGCAGCAGCGGAGGAAAGGATAGGTACTGGAACAATAAGAGGAAAGTACTTTAAAGAGAGGGCAACAAATGAATTAGATGATGACGAACCTTGATAAGAAACACAGATGAGGCTCTGTGCCTGCAAAACCTCATTTAAAACTTTCATAATTCCCTTCATAACTTCATACAGGCCATGCAAATATCACAATCAGTACATTCTAGGGTTCTGTTAGGCTGACATCTTATTATTAGGAAACATAACTAGCTCTTTTTTGATTGCATTGTCGTCCGTGCAGCCTACAAGGGATGCAATGTAATGCTACATCAACACAAGAGTTTTAGAGACGCTGAAACAGGAAGAAAACCACTGGCATTAACCTCGGCTATACAGAACGCAACATATATAATTAATATTTATGACAAGCGTTGCTGATGTTGTTGTCTTCGCAGTTAAATACTATAGATACAACTGTTATTCAAGCTCTTACTCAGGCTTGTTAGTGCGAACACAGATTAAACAAATACGGTGCCAAAACACTTGTGTGGACAGAGATTAGATTCAGTTTGAAAACACTACACACCAAAGTTTCACTCCTGTTTATTGAGTCACTGCTCAGCGTCTTCAGGCAGTCACGCCGACGTCTCCAAGACCCAGAGTGATTGCAATTAACACCCTTCGCTGGTGAAATTAGTCAGACCGCCTGCCGCAAATTAAAGTTTGTGCATCTGAGTTTGTCACCCCCCCCCCCCC